GCAATCAGGGCAGAATGTAGTCCAAGATATAAAGAAAACCCCAAAACATTTCTTCACATATGTGACATCTAAATCAAGAACCACTGCCAGTATTGGACCTATTCGTACAAGTGAAGGTTCGTACACTGAGGATGACAAAGAAATTATTGAAGTCCTAAAAAAGCAGTATGAGGACATGTTTAGCACCCCAATAAACAACATGAAAGTGGAAGATCCGGACAACTTCTTTATGCGTGATATCCAAAGCACTGAAAATTTAACTGATAGCAACACAAGCGTGGCAGATTTTGAAAGAGAAATTGACAACATGCCCATGCACTCAGCCCCGGGTCCAGAGTCGTGGTATTCAATATTTATAAAGAAATGCAAAGTGCCAGTAGCACAGGCGCTCAGTATAGTGTGGAGGAAGAGCTTGGACACATGGGAGATACCAGATGCGCTTAAATCAGCAGACAGCCCCTCTACACAACGGAGGGAGCAAAGCATTGGCTAAGAATTACAGACCAGTTGCACTAACGTCCCACATAATAAAAGTATTTGAGAGAGTGATCAGGAGTCAGGTCACTAATTTCATGGAAACCAATGACCTCCACAACCCAGGCCAACATGGATTTAGAGCAGGAAGATCATACCTCACAGCTGCTCGACCACAATGACAAAGTCACTGAGGCATTAGAGATAAAACAGAATTCAGATGTGAAAAACAAAATGGACTTGGCAAAGGCATTTGATTAATGTGATCATGGAATGAAAGCCCACAAAATGAGGTCAATTGGAATAACAGGTAAAGTAGGGCGATGGATATTAAATTTTTTGTCAAACAGAAAGCAAAGAGTAACAATTAATCAAATCAAATGAGTCCAAGCTCAGTTAAAAGCTCTGTACCTCAGGGTACAGTCCTTGCACCACTGCTTTTCCTTATTCTCATATCAGATATAGACAATACAAATCACAGCTTCGTGTAACTTTTGCATGACACAAAAAAAACATGATGAAAATTACTTCTGTTGAAGACATTGAAAAACTACAAGCAAATATTAATAAATTTTCGACTGGGCAGGAGAAAATAACATGTTTAAAAAATTATAAACTCCATGTACTGTACTTAAGTACGGTAAAACCTTAATACCTTAATACCAGTTGCCTCGTTTGTCCTAATGAGTTGTGTGTACAGGCGAGGAGTCACAATAACGTGGCTGAAGTATGTTGACCAGACCACACACTGGAAAGTGAAGGGACGACGACGTTTCGGTCCGTCCAGGACCATTCTCAAGTCGATTGTGTGTCTTGTAACTGAGAGCGTGTTGTGTGTGTGGTGGTTCTTGCACTGTGTGACATAGACCCTTGTCTGATCTGGTTGTAGCTGGGCAACTTGAACTACTTCACTACAATATATGGGGTTCTGTTCTTGTGTGTAGGGCGTGTTGCACTTTACCCTTATGTATCTCGACCTGTGTGAGGCCAAGCTTGGCGGCGGCCAGTCTCCTGCTTGACCCCTTTGTGCCGCTGTGCGGTGTTTACCGGTGTTTCTTCTGCCCTGTTTGTCTGCTGTTTGCCGTTGTCATGTCATTTGTGGGTTACAATCTGTTACTATTTGTTGATTTAAATTTTTTAAATTTTGCCCCGAGGGGCGAGTTTATTGGGCAGCGCCACTCATCTTGTGAGTGAACATACCGCCATAGCAGAATTTGTTGATGTTCCGTTGGTGGTCTGGTATGTCTTGTGTAATACTGTTGTGGCTCTATTTCTCTCTGTTGTGAAATTCTATCTCTCTGTTGTGGCTTGTAATACTGTTGATGCTGGTCATTTGGTCCAGCTTTGTGTATTGGTAGTGTTGTGGCACCGTGTTATGATGAGTGTTACTCAGGTCAGTGCCATCTGAGGCTCCTCAGATGCAGCACCAGCGGTGGCCCTCAGTGACCTGAGCGGTGCATAGTAAACACACCCTTCTGCACCCGTCCTCTAGAGCCAGGATTTGGTGAATTGGGATTCTGAGACAATAGGGTGAGCATGGCCACGTCCCAGCACTCATTACTGTTTTTTATCGCCTAACAAAATATTTGTGTAAGCGTCATTTGACGTGGCGCAGTTCTGGGACTAGCAGCCACTGGTTCTGACTGGCCAACACCGCAGCCCGCGCGGACGTCATCAAGAATTTGCCCGCCTTTTGGCCTCCACCGCCAGAGTCGACCGGAATTGACCAGACTGACATGGTATGCAGCAGTCTTGTCAGGAACCATGAGCCCGAGGGCCTCTCCATTTTGACTTATTTGGCTTACTGGTGAGAGGGTAGTAGAAGGACTATAGAAGCAGTGGCTTCACTAACTGGACTCCAGTGTTCTTAGCTAAATAAATTACAATATACACTTGGCACCGGGGTCAGATTTATTGAGTTTATTGTTTATAAAGAAGTACAAAATAGGGTGAGCATGGGTACTTGGTAACATGTGGTGGACTAGGCTTGAGCCAGTGGGCATCGCCACACTACACAAGGGAGGTAGTAAAGCACTGACAAAAACAGCAGACCGCTCGTACTGACATCGCTCATCATTAAGTGTTTAGAGGGGTGCCAAGAAGCCAACTTACCAGGTATATTGAAAAGAATGAGCTACACAACCAACTGGTTGGTCATCATGACAAAATTATAGGGACATTAGACGCAAACCAAAATGGAGGTGTTGTTTACATAGATATTGCAAAGGCATTTGATAAATGTGATCATGGAGTTAAAGTCTGGGAATAAACAGATAAAGTAGTTAGGGAGAGCGAGGTGGATTTTCAGTGTTCTGACCAACAGATTACAAACAGTAAACAAAATGCTGCTAAGAGTACGGTGCGAAGCTGTGTCCCACAAGGTACGGTCCTCGCATGGCTATCCATCCGTTGTTGTTGTTATAGATTCAGCTACTGGGAACAAAAAGTTCCAAGTCGCATGGGCTATGGTGAGCCCGTACAGGAGCGGGGCTTACCTGGTACAGGAGCGGTGCTGTAACTGCTACCCATCCTCAGCCTTCTGAAGACATACAAGCCACAGTCTCGCCTCACCCCTTGTGACCACACCAAAATAACCATCGCTGCTTCAGGGGAGATGCAGAAAACTACGATCTGATATTAACACGGTCTTCCAATGGGCTACTGGAAATAATAGTGACAAACACCGATTAATTCAGGACGAAAAATGAAAACCTTAAATGGAATTGAGGATACAAGACAGATACCATTACATAAAGAAGCAAGTAAGTGAGTGGCCTTAGAATAATACTAATGGTAGACGTCCTAACGTGTAGAGATGACAATACAGCAAACATAGCAAGAGTGAGGACAATGCTAGGGGGGATAATAACATTGTGAACAATGGCTGTCACAACAATAGTGGCACTCTTTATAGCATTGGTGCCATATCTCGCATGGAGTACTGCTCAGTCCTCGCCACCCTCCCTTGCACATATCCTTCACCGCATACATTGAGTGAAGCTTTCCATCTGCAGCCACTGAGCCAAACTGTACTCCTTGGAGCCAAGATGAGACATATATCAAAATACCTGTGGACGCCACCGAGGGGTGAGGCCGCACAATACAACAGCACACTGGAGCCACAGGTACATGGCAGCAAATGTAAAGCACATCCAAGATAATGTCTGGGCGCCATAAACACATTTACACCACAGTGTGTGTAAATCATGACAATTGAGACATGAGGCGTACACCAGAGTGTGAACACCAAACACTCTGGTGTACGCCTCATGTTCATCAACGTTTTAATCCAGTAAATGTATATTAATATTTAAAATATGGGAATTGTGTGTATTTACTATTTATATCTACAGAATCGAGCTATAAGCTCTTGGACCCGCCTATCTAACCAATCTATTTCCCCCTATTATATCTACTATATATATTTCTCTCTAAAACAGAAGGTAGTATTGTCAGCAAATAGTATAGGCTTAAGAATGTTAGAAACATTTGGCAAATCATTGATGTATATAAGAAATAGGAGAGGTCCCAAGATGCTGCCCTGTGGCACCCCTACTGTCAAAGGTAGAGTGGGGGAGGTTATGCTCATTGATGTTAAGCTAAATTGTGTTAAGATGGCTAGTCACGCGATTTGCCGTATTTTTCAATGGGGGGATCAGCCAGTCCACCCACGGGGTGAGGGAGTCCGCCCACGGGGTGAGGGAGTCTACCCACAGGGTGAGGGAGTCTACCCACGGGGTGAGGGAGTCCGCCCACGGGATGAGGGAGTCTACCCCCGGGGTGAGGGAGTCTACCCACAGGGTGAGGGAGTCTACCCACAGGGTGAGGGAGTCTACCCACAGGGTGAGGGAGTCAATCAACAGGGCGAGGTGTAGGGAAGAGGGGGCGGGGATGTCTCACCGCAGTAAACTGGAATGGCCTAACCAGTTGTATACTCTCCACACACAACAATGGGCTGGATTGAACTGGGTCGGGTGGATGTGAGAATACCGTGAAGGTGATTATGAAGAAGGAACCACTACTGGATATAATAACGTACAAGGTACACACAACACAATGGCTCCTGCCGCCTGTTTGTCCCAGTCATCGCCACTTTCATCTTGGATTTACAAACACACACACACAGTGTGTGTGTGTTTGTAAACCACGAAGAAATTAACACGTGATGAATAATGTAACAATGTATGACCATGAAGGGGAATAACACAGGAAATTCCTTAAATACTTTCTTATTATTCAATACATCTTCACAAGGACCATTACAAAAGTAGTCCAGCATGTTCAGATTGCATATATGTCTTTAAGACAAATAGGGGAACCTTCGACAAGCCGCAGGGTTCCTCGTCGAGGCCACTTGGGTTAGTGGCCCTCAGGTAAATCTGGTAAATTTCATTATAGAGAGAAAAATATACTAGGCATTTCTTGAATGCGCATCTCAAATTCAAGGTTAAATAATTATTTAATCTCACTCGACTTCGAGTCCAAACATGTTATATTTCAATTCTCCAAATCTTCAATATTTTCAGCCAGTGGCAAGAAAAAGCTATGCTTTTAAATTTATGCGGAAAGCCAAAAAACAAGATGGTAGAGAATGGCTGGAGCAAACACATGCAAGAGCATGCAGCTGGCAGAGGTGGTGTTAGAAAGTTGAGGAAGGCACAGAGGGCAGGCAAGTAGTGACGTAGTGATCACGTGTGAGCTGGAAGCACGAACTGTTTGTTATATTGCCCAAGGCTCCCTCAGTGTTGGACCGTCGCTGCTGGAGAGCGAAGGTTTTGTTCTTGCTGGTAACACTTGGCGGTCTTGCTGAGCGGCGGGTATCACAGTCCGGGGAAGACCACACGCTCTCAGGAGTGAACCTGCTCGTTGGCCATTGTGTGAGTAAGTATGCTTAAGACTGCTCAACCTCTCTCTTGTCCCAGAGACTGTTGGGCCTCTTGTTCCAGTGACTGTTGGACCTCTTGTTCCAGAGACTGTTGAACCTCTTGTCCCAGAGACTGTTGGGCCTCTTGTTCCAGTGACTGTTGGACCTCTTGTCCCAGAGACTGTTGGACCTCTTGTTCCAGTGACTGTTGGGCCTCTTGTTCCAGTGACTGTTGGGCCTCTTGTTCCAGTGACTGTTGGGCCTCTTGTTCCAGAGACTGTTGGACCTCTTGTTCCAGAGACTGTTGGGCCTCTTGTTCCAGTGACTGTTGGGCCTCTTGTTCCAGAAACTGTTGGACCTCTTGTTCCAGAGACTGTTGGGCCTCTTGTTCCAGTGACTGTTGGGCCTCTTGTTCCAGAGACTGTTGGACCTCTTGTTCCAGTGACTGTTGGGCCTCTTGTTCCAGTGACTGTTGGGCCTCTTGTTCCAGAGACTGTTGGGCCTCTTGTTCCAGTGACTGTTGGGCCTCTTGTTCCAGAGACTGTTGGACCTCTTGTTCCAGTGACTGTTGGGCCTCTTGTTCCAGTGACTGTTGGACCTCTTGTTCCAGTGACTGTTGGGCCTCTTGTTCCAGTGACTGTTGGGCCTCTTGTTCCAGTGACTGTTGGGCCTCTTGTTCCAGAGACTGTTGGACCTCTTGTTCCAGTGACTGTTGGGCCTCTTGTTCCAGAGACTGTTGGACCTCTTGTTCCAGTGACTGTTGGGCCTCTTGTTCCAGTGACTGTTGGGCCTCTTGTTCCAGTGACTGTTGGACCTCTTGTTCCAGTGACTGTTGGGCCTCTTGTTCCAGTGACTGTTGGGCCTCTTGTTCCAGTGACTGTTGGGCCTCTTGTTCCAGTGACTGTTGGACCTCTTGTTCCAGTGACTGTTGGGCCTCTTGTTCCAGAGACTGTTGAACCTCTAGTTCCAGAGAATTGCTGTGCTGTGCGCTGTTATTCCTGATGACAGATATAATGCTGTGTTGTTCCTCCTTACGGCAGAACTGGACGAGAACACTGTTCTCAGTGTCATGTCATCACTCCTGAACACCACAAGCAGCATGGAGTCTACCTCGGTGAAAGACCAGAACAAATAATAAGGCTACGAGGGTAAAAAGTCTCACCTGGTAGCCCTACGGAAGTAAAACAATTGGAAATCAGCCCCAGGTGAGCCCCCAGGTAAAGTAGCTCCAGCTACAAGCAACAATGAACCCTTTACGCCATAGCCTCCGTGGGGGTTGCTGGCCTCGAGTGAGTGACCAAGTCTTAGTGGGGATGTTGCTCTGTACCTGTCATCTTGTGTGGGGTCGTGGCGGGAACCTCCCACACATCCAGTGTGCCTCGTGCACTATGGACCTGCATCCAAATACCGCATCACCCCAGGGGCCTGTATCCGGTTATAATGTGTCACCCTATTGGCTTGCATCCAACTAGCACGGGCGGGAAACCTACGGCCATTTATTGTACTCGGTGCCGCCTTCCAATTAGGTTAAATTGATGAAAGTTAATCTGTAAGATTTTAAGACATTTGAATGTACACAGCGCATCGTGTGATGTGCGGCCTCGTTCAGTTTTCGGTAAATAAAGTATGGTTTTAATATGACAAAAGGTCCCATAGGCTACAGGAAAGGCCCCGCCACCATAGGCTACAGGGAAGGACCCACCACCATAGGCTACAGGGAAGGAGCCACCACCATAGGCTACAGGGAAGGAGCCGCCACCATAGGCTACAGGGAAGGACCCGCCACCATAGGCTACAGGGAAGGGCCCGCCACCATAGGCTACAGGGAAGGGCCCGCCACCATAGGCTACAGGGAAGGAGCCGCCACCATAGGCTACAGGGAAGGAGCCGCCACCATAGGCTACAGGGAAGGACCCACCACCATAGGCTACAGGGAAGGAGCCACCACCATAGGCTACAGGGAAGGACCCGCCACCATAGGCTACAGGGAAGGACCCGCCACCATAGGCTACAGGGAAGGACCCGCCACCATAGGCTACAGAAAAGGCCCCGCCACCATAGGCTACAGGGAAGGACCCACCACCATAGGCTACAGGGAAGGACCCGCCACCATAGGCTACAGGGAAGGACCCGCCACCATAGGCTACAGGGAAGGACCCCGCCACCATAGGCTACAGGGAAGGACCCGCCACCATAGGCTACAGGGAAGGACCCCGCCACCATAGGCTACAGGGAAGGACCCGCCACCATAGGCTACAGGGAAGGACCCCGCCACCATAGGCTACAGGGAAGGACCCGCCACCATCTCTACACTGTCTCAACACTATTGACAGTAACTTGTATTGATTTTATTACTACTTTGATGTTCACATCAATTTTATTCCTCAATATGAATGTAAATAATTTTGTCTTATAAAGTGGGCGTTATATGTTGGTCCAAGACTGTGATATAGAGCTGCTATGTGGAATTGTTAATGAGTGTATATAACTTTAGATCCTAAATGCTGTAAGCATTTGCTCATGGCAGACTTTAACTTACCTGTCTGTTCATCAGTACCACGACAGCTTTTATGTCCTCTTCCTCACATCATTCCTTCCTGCGTCATGCTCATTCACAGCTTAAGTTTGAGCAATTTTGGAAAGTGTAAGGTTGCCTTTGCTCTCCAAGCCTTAGTGTGGTAGGTTGTGGCCCCTGGTGGCATGACCTGGTGTTCTTGGTGACTTAACTACTTGCGGTCACCACAACCTCTCATCAAGTACGTACAGCAAGTATTGAGAGAACCTACACACATGGACTCATGTGCCCAAATAAAACCCACGTTTTTGTACTATAAATTTTGTAGAGAAACAGAAAGAAGTGAGCAATCAAACCTAAAGTTTCCTAAGCTTAGTATAACACATATGTACTAAATTAGGCCTAAAAAGGTGTGTTAGACCTAGGATTGCTTATTTAGGCCTAGGAGAGATAGTTATATATTTACTATTTCAGTTTTGGCATACCATTTGTAGTACTCCAGTGGTACGAAACGTGAATTTTGGAGTACAACAGTCCATTGTTATATGCTGCAGCAATACTTGCTATAAACTGTCATATGTGGAGGATAGGCTGGTTAATCCCGTCCTACCTGGCATCCTTTTACTATAAGGCAAGACCAAGACGCTGCAGCAAGGTGATGGGAGACCTCCGGCTCATCACAAAGTGTGGGGTCAGTACATGCTGGAAAAATGTTATCATTCATCTCTCTCCCAACAGCCAGTGCGCCGGCAGCCAGTAAAGCAACCCAAAAGACACCAGGCGCCATGTTGGACGACCTACCCAAGAGAAGCAGCAACTTCATCAGGGTAAGTGTAGTGGAGCAGCCGCCGAAGCTGCCGCTGCTTCGGCGGCAGCCGAAGGCGCATCATTTCTCTCTGTAGTACTCACTCGTGTCAGGATTGTTATGCACTGTGCGTGGCCCATTCTCAGGTCTCTCTTTGCATTTCTCGTTTGCTTTTCTTTGCTGACTCTCTAACCCTCCTTAGACATATTGTGTGTAATAAATATTGCATGGTAGTGGCCTTATAGGGAGGACGAGGTGTCTTCTGGACAGGATATGAGATGTCAGGAATGCTGCTGGACAGGCGACGAGTGCTGATGTGTGCTAATGCCTCCAGCACTGCTGCACGGGCAACCACAATATATAAGAGTAAGGGCTCGAGATGAAATCAGTAAGACAGCAGTCACAAGAAGGAACAGTCTGAGATAGATCAGTTCCAGACAGGAGTCACAGCTGCCACAGTCCCAGACAGGAGTCACAGCTGCCACAGTCCCAGTCAGATGCTGCCGACTAAGTACCAGCTTTAGAGGTCCAAGGCCGTCACAGCTGGGAGGCTGATTCCCAGAGAGATGGGGGCGCAGGAGTATGGAAAGGTCATCAGAGCGTCGAGGCCGGTAAGCAATGATGTGTTGGCTGCGTTGGGTGTTTGAACCATCTGGAGTGACTGCTGCTGCACCCAAGGTGTGGGTGTGTGTATGAGCAGTGTGCTTGTCTAACACTGACTACGGGGAAGAGAGGTCTAGCTCTTTATACCCTATCTTCTAGCCTCGTTGTACCTGTTTCGTTATAATTTATCTTTCCAAACGTTTACATTTGTTGTCGCATTTGGTCTTGTGGATACATGTGGCTTCCTTGCATTTCTTTTACTCATTTGTGTTCAGTCTTTCACCATGTGGTGTGGTAACGCTATGTAAGGTAGTCAGATTTGACGGGATGCTGAATGGCATTCAAAGACCCTCAAATCTGGCTACCTTACTGTCATTTATTGAAAATATTTATATTTTCAATAAATGACAGTCGAGATAATTCCTGAATTTACCTGAGGACCACAACTACCGGATTGTTGTTGTTGATTGTTGCTACCGGAGGCGGCTAGTTTATTGTGCACCTCATACTCATCCTGTGAGCGGTAGCGCAAAAAGTATTACAGAGGGCATAAAAGGTCTTTATCAGACCTCAACGGAGATTAATCACAGTATGTCCGTGGCTTTCCTGAGAGACTCCTGCTGGAGTAGTTGCTGGGGATGGGATAGTTGCTGTCCGTTAAAAAAAGTTATCTTGATAGGCCGAGTTAATGTTGGTCGGGTCTGAGTCTTGGTTATTAACCTCTAGTGGCTCACCTAATGAAAACATTTGAGGAAGCTTTGTTATTGGAAATGGTGGAGTTACTACAGTGGTTGACAGGTGCTATGTGAGGAGCAGTGTCTGGTATGTCACTACAAGTTCATCATTTGGTTGATAAAACACTGTCATGTGGGTATTACCTACCCTTTGTTGGTTTTGGGAATCAGTGTCTCAGAGGCCTGGTATCTGACCACAGTTGGTTTGGTCAACGAGGCTGTCAGACGTGGCTGCTCGCAGTCTGACATATGAATCATTGCCCGATTGATCAGATATCCTTTAGAGGTGTTTAACAAGTTCTCTTTTGAGAACTTTTTAAACAAGTCGGCTAGTCATACTCCCTATGTCTTCAGGAAGTGTTGAAAAGTCTTGGAGCCTTGATGTTGTGAAGTTATTTATATCTTGCTTGACCCTCTAATATTTTCCCAAAGTGTAACAAAATATGTCTCTCTCGCCTGTGCTCTAGATAATACAAATATAAACCCTGCTTATATAGAAATGCTTATATACATAATCAGTCCCAATTATTTACATGTTTTATTGAATGGATTCTGGTAGCAAAAAATATCTGCATGTTTTCAAGTCCTTGAGTTTTGAATGGGGTTGTTAGTGAGCCACAATATTCCACCCTAAAGACTGGCAATGTCTTTAGAAATATGTCATCATTGGTCTGGAATCTTTTGTTTGAAAAGTTCTTGTTATCCTAATTGTTATTTTTCTTACAATTGTTACGCCTACTTTAATATGTTCTTTAAGAACACGGTTTTCTGGTGTCATTACTCCCAGATCTTCTGAAATTGAATTTTCTTTGTTTCCTGTTCTGTAGCTCATTTACGAGTAATATAACATTTATATTACTCCTAAATAACACTGTCATCTAAGAGTAATACAAGCCTAGGATTATCACATTTACTTTGCAATTATTGTGTGATGACTATGAAGGTTGGTATTATTATACAAACAATTCTGACAGAGAGAAGTTCGACGGACCTTCAGGAAAGACACATTGTTCAAGAGGTTACCGATCACATCATGGCTTCCCAAGTACAACCTGGAATGTTTAGAGGGCGACCTGATGGCTGGCTGTGCTGTGGGCCTCACAGTGGTCCCACAGAGCATGGCCTATGCTGGTGTTGCTGGCCTCCCTCCTAATGTAAGTTCATTATGTAGCCTATGGTAAAACACCTGCAAAATCTCCATTGTTTCATGTATCGTTAACAGGATCAAATGCATGAACTTTTATATACATAAAATTATTATAAAGCAGTAGATGTAAATGTCACTCATTATGTCCGTTAAAAACAAGTGGGTCTGGCCACTACCTGGTTGGGACCACCTGGACAGCTGTTAGGTGACATGGGAGTGTGGGGGGGGGATCTTAATAAGCCTTACAAGCTTCCTGTCCCCGACAATAGGAAAACAAATTATATTTGTTTATTTTACCATTGACCTGGTCAGAAATACAATCCCCAAACAATATTCTTTTCGCATACCCGCATCAGCTTGGTATATGTTCTACAAGTTGTTTCATAGAGCATATATAATAAATTGATAAGCATCTAGCATTTAAGTCCAGTAATTCCTGCAACCACCCTTATTATGAAGAAAATTATGGGATACATAACCACTGTTGGCACAAATCAATGTCACCTCGTATAGAAGCCCACATAAAGTCACTAAAGTGCAGCTCATTTCTTGACACAAAAAGGATTATCTTCAAGCAACTCCTCCCACCCGACTCTAGTCTCAACACAGCCTAACCTTCATCAGGTAATTAAGGATGCAGGATTATACACTTACATGGACAGGAAATCCTTAACTGACCTTTTGGGAGGTTGTATTCAGGTGGAGGCCATGGCCACATGGTTAGATGCAGGTAGTGGCCAGACTCGCTGGTAGTTTCCCAAAGTTACAAAATAAACCATCGTCTGACACCGCACCACGTCCATGGTCTCTTCCTCTTGCCCCGTCAATGTTTTTATATTGACTTTCCCACTCACTATAGGTTTTAAGCATCCCTCCAATCCCACTACATTTCTAACCGATCATCTATCCCCCCCTCAGTATGGCCTCTACTCCTCCTTCGTGGGGTGCTTCGTGTACATGATTTTTGGCACCTGCATGGAGATCTGCATTGGACCCACAGCTATCATGGCTCTTCTCACATACGAGTATTCCAGGAATGGTGTCCCAGACTACGCTGTGTTGCTCTGCTTCCTCAGTGGTGTCATAACTCTTGCTGCAGGAATTTGTAACATGGGTATGCCATTTAACAGTTCTGTTTCTCCGTTCAGGAAAATAATTAGTTGTAAATGTATAGAATGAAATTGGACTTTAAAATTTTAAAATATATCATAAATGTTACATTCAAACTGCAACACCACTCTTGATCTAACACACAGTCCTCACTATTACTTAAAATATGTCATTTCTGTATTGGAGTGCTTCTCCATATTTCTCCTTCCTGTTTCCTTGGTAACTTTCCTTTTAAACTAATACAAACTCTCCATACTGAAGTGTTCACTAGCGTACTTGCCTTACAAGTTTACTGAAGACGAGATGAGTACAGTTGGTTTTGTTCTCGACTCACAATTGGAAGTTCCAGGTTTGAATTCCATTCGAGACATTAAATGGTTGAGCACGTTTCCTGTCACCTAATGCATCTCTTCACCTAGCAGTAAATATATTACATGCTGGATAGGTTAATGGTGACATAGAAGGATAGAGCATGATTGGTTAATGGTGGCATAGAAGGTATTGAACATGATTGGTTAATGGTGACATAGAAGAAATAACTTGGAAAAAAATTTCCTCCTTCTTGGAGGATATTCTCTTGAGAGCAATCCACCCTAATAGGGAAGTACCTTGGGAAAGATGCATCAGATTTATTGTTACATAGATATATTGTAGCCTAGATTATTTACTTTGCCAATATACTGTACTGTATATTGCTCTTAAGCTAATAAACAATATAAGCTTCAGTTTAAAGTCATATAACTTATCTACTTTTATCTTGGGACAGATTTATCAACTAAGCACTTCTACTTGGATACTTCCTCATCCTACCTCAATGACTGACCAATATCCGGTACACACAAGGAACATGGACACTAATTCAAGTGGCCAGTTCAAGTACCAAGCTTATGCCATAGCATATATATTGTTGCAGTTTGACTGACTTTTATAGGTATGAGATCATTCTCCTAAAATCTAACCCTTTTTACAGTTTCCTCAAACCCCAAAAGTAAGAAGGATATGTTTTAAGGCTTTATTTCATACAATATGCATTCTTAAAATAACTAAAATAATGTTTCTTTTATTTTTAGGGTTTCTTGTCAACTTCATATCAAGGCCAGTGATATGTGGATTTACCTCTGCGGCAGCCATCACCGTTGCTTCCACCCAACTCAAGGGCTTGTTTGGCTTGTCATTTTCAAGTCAAGGAATTGTGCAAACGTATATGAAGCTTTTTCAAAACATTGGAAAGACAAGATGGCAGGATTTGACTCTTGGACTCTCTTGTATGGTCATTTTGCTTCTCATGAGGGTAATATGCTTTTCCTTTACAAATGGTTTATACAGTAAATAATTTTACATACATAACTTGGCATTAGTTAAACCAAACACTGGCAAAACAACAGGGGCCAGATTCACGAACCAGTTACACAAGCACTTATGAACCTGTACATCTTTTCTCAATCTTTGGCGGCTTTGTTTACAATTATTAAACAGTTAATGAGCTCCGAAACACTAGGAGGCTGTTTATAACAATAACAAAAGTTGATTCGGAGGTTTCATGCTTGTAAACTGTTTAATAAATGTAACCAAAGCCGTCAAAGATTGAGGAAAGATGTACACGTTCGTTAGTACTTGCATAACTGCTTCATGAATCTGGGTCCTGGTCAATTATTTTGCACAGCAAGAGTTGCCACAGGAAACTGTTTTCCATTGTGGTATCATGTTAAATGGGTAAAAAATATAGAAGGGGAGCTTATAATAATTAATAAAATTGGGTATAAGAGTGAGAGTTCCTAAAGGAAAAGTTTTAAAAAAGTATAGAAATGGGAGTCGATAGATATATGGGAATATGCATTCTTAGCAGTGTAAGGTATGAGAATTTGAGTTCTTAAAGGGAAAGGTGTATCAATAGGAAGGGAGATCCTAATGGTGAAGTATAAATAGAGGTAATTTATTGATGGGGAAAATTATAGACAAGAGTAATTCCTAATGGTGGAAAAAAATATGCATAAGAATTGCTAATGGGGAACATTTTGATATATGAAGAATCATTTCTAAAAGGAAACAGTAAAGCGAAGAAGAAGAGTTTGCAATAGAAAAAAGGTATGGATAGGAAGTAGTAGGTAATGGGGCAAAAGTATTAACAATATAAATACTGTACAGTACTGGTATGCTTTTTTCATTAAAACACAAATGACCACTAGTGGTTTAGCAGATTTAGATAAAAAAAAAAGGTAACACATTTAGACTAATAAAATTCGTCTTTTACTTTCAGAAAATGAAAGATTTGAAAGCTGTGAAAGTTCAGACCAGTGACGATTTGGGAACAAGAATTTTTAAAAAACTTATATTTTTAACATCAGTTGGCCGCAATGCCATTGTTGTTATTATGGCTCTATTAATCGCCTACACTCTTGACGATGATCAGCCCTTCATAATTACAGGTATTATACAGGACCAGTTATTAAGTATCTTTCAGGCAGAGCTTCCTCAGTAGCTACTGATCTTGCATCCTAAAAGCAACCAAGCCATGGGGTACACACTAGGTCCCTATGACCCATGATCTCCCGGGGTCCAGGGCTGCCTTCTGTACTGCCTGGCTCCTCTCGAGTCATATTTCTTCCATGGTTTTCTACCGTGCCTGTCAATGGAAAGCGAGTGTAGCTTTGTGTGTTAATTCTAGCCTTGTCAGGGTTATCTTCCCTGGTGGTGAACTACAGCTGTCATGTCATGTCTGGTTTGTGGTGTTGTTATACATGTAGTCCTCAACTGTTCCTGGTATGAGAGTTAACTTAGTTCTTGGCTGATTTTTGTTGATCTGCATTGTATATTCTCCAAAGCAGACATGTCCTTCCAATACAATACAGTACTGTATAGTGACAGGCCACAGTGTGAACATGTATGGCCAGATGTATAGTGACAGGCTGCAGTGTGAACATGTATGGTCACATATATAGTGACAGGCCACAGTATGAACATGAGATATATAGTGACAGGCTGCAGTGTGAAAGTGCTAACATTGCCAAGTTGGTCCAGATATTCTTCCACATTCAGAATTTATAAAAATTCTGGTCTTTGCTTTTGGATTTTTATCAGTTATTCTGATTATCAACATCTGAAAATATTTTGCTAAGTTTCCACTATTTTGAGTTCCAAAATGTTTAGACCTCACTTTGTACATATTAAGTACTTTTAATTGGTGTAATTTGTTAAAAATATAATTTGAACTTTTTTGTCCTAATCTGGACAAAATCTAAATATTATATTTTCTTTTCTAGGAGAGGTGAAACCTGGCTTACCAGCATTCAGGCCACCACCATTTTCTACAGTTATCAATGGCACTAATTTCACTTTTATTGACATGGTAACAGACATTGGATCTGGTATTGTTGTTGTCCCTATTTTATCCATCTTGGGATCTGTTGCTATTGCTAGTGCCTTTTCTGCTGGGAAGATGGTTGATGCCAAGCAGGTGAGTTGTGCTCTGTTTAGTCTGATCTTTGTGTATTTCAGTTCCCTTGTCATCTTAACCTTGAAGTACTATCTTCATATTTCCTGTGTTTATGTACTGATAACGTTGACACTGGATAGGTTACTTATGCCAGCAGAATGGACTGAAGATAATGATACCCATATCATATACCCATATCCCTGTTGTGTAATACCTGCACTGCTCTAAAACTCACTAATCTTTCTCCAGGAAATGTTTGCTTTAGGATTTTGCAATCTCCTTGGGTCCTTTGTTCAATCAATGCCAATAACTGGATCATTCTCCCGAACTGCTGTCAATGCTAACAGTGGAGTGAAGACTACAGCAGGAGGCATCATCACCGGTGTGCTCGTCATGCTGGCCCTGTCTTTCCTTACGTCACACTTCAAGTTGGTATTCACTGGAGTTTATTATTCTATTAGATATCCCAGTCAGGGAAACTACAGTATATTAACAGAGTAATATACTGTAGTTCCAGGGATGGAAAAGCATGTTGCTGCACTATTATACAAGATGGCTAATTCACCAGAACGCTGGTTCAAATCCTCACACTGCTCCAACTCATTTTCTTGCCGATATTTCACTCCATTGTGTTTTGTGTGTTGTGAATACACATGAAGTTGGTAGTTGTGGGCAGCACAATTATCCACACTCTAGTGCAGTGCTCTCCCTCTTACAGGTACATTCCAAAGGCGTCACTTGCGGCTGTCATCATCTGTGCTGTGATATTCATGATAGAGTACGAGATGATCATTCCAGTATGGAAAGCCAGACGCTTAGACCAGCTGCCTCTGTGGGGAACATTCATCACTTGTCTGTTTTGGAAGTTGGAATATGGCATCCTTGTTGGAGTGACTATTAATTTGTCTATTTATCTCTATGGAACGGCAAGACCAAAAGTTAATATAAACGTCGTCAAGAAACAGGTTATTCCTTTGGTTTTTATTATTATTATTAAGCTTCGTAAAAAATTATTCGTGTGTAAATTTGTTAAAAGTTTTGCTTTCCTGTTAGACTTACCTAGGTGCTTCCAGGCCAACAGCTGATCTTTCTAAAGGTGCAGCTCTCAACAGTCAACTAACTTCCAGGTACCTATTTACTGCTATAAAGGAAAAAAGAGGCATCAGGTGCAAGAAGACATGCCTAGATGTCTCATCCTGCCCAGGATTCAAATTTAGGACTAATGAAAGTAATTGTAAACAGAAGAGGAAATAGTGTAAAATTAAAAGTAAATAGAGAAGTGTTAGAAATAGTTACTCAAATTAAATACCAGGGATCTGTTATTGAGGAAAGAGAGGACTGGAAACTATGGCAGAACTGGCCACATAGGAGCCAGTAGAAGAAAGAGGCTTGCCAAGGGCTACAATCCAGGAAATACAGGAAGCAGCAGCTGGACCTTAGGAAAAGGGCAATACAGTGAGCCAACCTTCCCTAGGCCAGACAAAATGCACCCTCTATGAACTCTAACCAATCCAAATATGGTGCCCCATAGACCATAGAGCTGCCAAAACCATGCAAAGGCAAACAAGCCCACCCAAGAATGGCCAAAAGACCCACAAAGCCAAGGAAGTTGTCTCATCTGCCATCAAAATGGGCAGAAAAAAAGAGAGACTAATTATAAGAAAGTCAAACACACCATGGAATGAATCAGTGCTGAGAAATAAAGTCTGAGAACCTAAACGAAGGTTACCCTCATAAGCTGGCATCACAGGGAAAGGAGACAGTGAACCAAGCCCTCTGAATGGGTAGAGAATGAGATGCCAAGAAAACCGACGTCAGCCAAGGCAGAGTAAGCTGGCTGACATGAGGCACAAATGTTGAAGATTAAACACACTGAAACTGCCTCATTAAAAAAAAGAGCAGGTGCACAGCAACCACACCACCCTCTATAGACAGGGTCTGCAAAAGCCTTCCTAGTAAAGCTGGCTCACAAAGTGGCTGCAGGCCGAGAGGCAATCATCTGAAATGGCAGCTCAGACATAGCCAAAGTCAAGCACCAATCAATGGCACAAACTTATTAGTAAAAAATACCATGGAACCCTAGACAAATACAGTAGGCTGTAAAACAGAGGCAAGAAGGAATTCACTGTAGAATCTTAAGGACACAGAAGCATATACCAAAACTGCAAATAGCAGCATCAGATATTGAATCAAAGGTGGAAGCCGTAATGACTTGGTGGAATAGACATACAGTATCCAACAATAAACCCCATAGGCTCAAGAGACTCCAGCCACACAAACCATCACATGGACTGGCAGACACACTGGGTACAAGGTCAGCATTTTGGTGAAATAAACACCAAATACCAACCACAAACACTTGGTGAGGAAGTGTAAGCAGCCTTGGATCTTAAGTCATGCATGTATGCTTGTTAGGTGTGCTCTTGGCAGCAGTGCAAGACCCTTAACACTCACATGAGCAAGGCCAGCATGATGGTTCCTAAGTATACATAATAATACAGTTTGAATGTCTCAATGGTATTTATGATCCTTGCTCCTGATAAGAAAGGGTGTATTTCAGAGGCCTGGTGCATCTCCATAAGTTTCTTCAAGACCAGCTCTGATCTTTGGAAATCACTTAGGGACCCTTTTAGAAAATTATTTTTCATTTAACTGTACTATACAGCAACTGTTAACATTTAAAAAGTATATATAATATTTTTTTTTATAAAAATTTATATATTTTCTACAAATCTTTTTCACAGGATAGAGATGAGCCATCCTATGTGGTAGTTGAGCCAAGCAGTGGTCTCTTCTTCCCATCTGTGGACTATGTGCGAGCAGCTGTCAACAAAGCCGGATTAATTACAGCACAAGGAATTACAACAGTGGTTGTGGATTGCAGTCATTTTACTGGAGTAGATTTTACAGCTGTTCAGGTAAGAACCAAAATGAACCAAAAACCAAAATGAATGCTTCAAGGTTTATCCCTTTTCTGTGATGAACAAAAACACATGTCCATTCATCACACGATGTAAGGAGGGACATCTTATTTATAATTATTTATAGTTAGGGAACACTTCAATTGAAAGCAAAAATGATACCTCATTAAATACAAGAGAAATTAAATTCACATGAACTATACAACTAATTTGAATTGAGGAATTCAAGCAAACCAGTATGTGAGTGTATTACAATTATATATACTAGGAGAGGGCACCTAGCAGGGCCCAAGATAGTCTCTCTTTCTCCCCCCCCCCCATTCCACCCCTTTACTTTTTCCCTCCATTTTCCCCTTCTGCCCCTCCCCCCTTACCACTCTTCCCTGTTGTACATATCATTTTCTCCACCCTCATACAAACATTTCCATTTATAAATATAGAAGGGGGTACCCACTTGCACTGGGCTCTCTTCTCACCCTTTCCCATCTTCCCTGTGACTTACTTGACCCTCGTTTTCCTCCTCTCCCCCTTCTCTCAGAATTTTTTTTATTAAAATGCACTGAAATAATGGAGTCTCAGAAAATATATTAAGATCCATAAAACTCTAGAGAAATCACATCATATATTTAACACTGACTCATGAAAATTGCATGACAGGGAACACATACCATCTTGATAATGTAAATGCTTGAAATATGGAAGCAGGCACCTCACAGCACAACTAAACAAGTATGGAATAGAAGAAAATAGGGCACATACAACTTTAAAATTATGTGAAAAGGTTTTAAAGGACTGATAAAGAGAGACCTAAAGACAGTTCTAGATAGAAAACTGTCACATTGTGGACCACATAAAAAACATTATGTAAGGAGCCTATGCTATGTTTTCTAACTTAAAAATGGCTTTTAAATATATTGATGGTGAAATATCAAAGAAATTATTCATGACCTTTGTGAGACCAAAATTGGAAAATGCAGCAGTTGTATGATGCCACTATTTTTAGAAGCACATCAACAAACTGGAAAAGGTGTGAAGACACGCAACTAAATGGCTTCTGAAACTTAAAAAACAAGAGCTACAAGGAGAGGCTAGAGGTTTTAAATGTACCAAAAACATAAAAAAAAAGAGGCAATATGATCACTGTATAAAATAGTAACAGGAATCAACAAAAGAAACCTGGAACTTCAAGAACGAGAGATCATAGGTTCAAGCTAAGGAAACAAAGCTGCCAAAAAAACATTAGAAAACTCTCTTGTAAACAGAATGGTAGACGGAACAAGTGAGAAGGTGGTGAACAAAACCGTCAACAGTTTCAGTCAAAAGATAGTGTGCTGGGAAGATGGGACACCCCGAACATAGCTCTCATCCTCTAACTACACTTAGGTAATTATCATCTCTAATCAGATACAGCTCTCCTCTGGTCTGAGAACGAGGTGCACAGGTAGAGTGAAACTACACAATGCAAAAGCACACAAAAGCTATTCTACATTACTCCAACCTAAGCATTCTCTCCCATACATAATGGCAATTGAACCAATTAAATTAACATTGAAATTAGTACAATATAAATGTCAGTCATTACAATGACTTTGTTTAAGTGGTGGCACTTTTATGCACTTACTGTATTCTGCCTTTCCATTTCACTTTGAAAGCACTTTTTTCCTGAACTTGTCACTAATGCTAATATGTTTTATATATACAGTACAGACACTTTTACAAAAATTAATACTTCTTATATTAAATTTTCTTGATTAGGGTTTTAATCTTTGCCAGCCATGCAGTTCAGTACTTATTCTATATTTTAGGGAATCAAGGGCTTGTGCTCCGACTTCGAGAAACGTCATCAAACACTGATCTTCTCAAATGCTCCAACAAGTGTGAAGGATGGACTCCAGTCACTTCATGCAGATATCAAGATTGCCACATCACCAGAGGAGTTGCACAGCCTACTGAAATGTATGTTCTCTAGCCATTTTTCAAGCACTTCTCTATACATACTTTATAGAAACGGTTGTTATGCTTGTGATTTCCATTGCATGAGCTTTAGTTTCTTTTTTGCTTGATACTGGTATGGACTTTTTGTTTTTCCATAAACGCTCAATTTTATTTTTACTATTTAAGTACATTATCTCTACTAGGGTTAATTTTCAAGACATAATTTAATAAATATGTAGTGTGTTCCCCATTGACTGTTACCACTTGGTGGTCTCACGGTTTTCGTACTCCACATCACCCTGTAATAATGTAGTTTTTCATTTATATTTTTTTAACCTTCATTTTATTTCCCTTTACTTGCACTATTCTGTACTTCATTACCTCTTTATGTTCATTCCTTCTTTCACATATGCATGTGTCTGCCGGGGACAGTCCATGTTGTTGTGTATTAGTGCCAGCAAGTGGTAACTGCATCGTATTTATATTAGCAGCATCAGCAGTTGTACCTTTCTCATCCAATCTACGATTGTGATTCCAGAGCAAAGAATGTGTCAACTCACTGATGCTCTTGCAGTATCTCCATTGAAAATACGCAGCTTTGTCCTTGCTACAAGTCATATTTATTAGTGTACATCTCCAGTGTACAACCTGTCCTCAGGAAGATCCCCTGGAGGTAATGGATTCAAAACTGCTACATAATTAGTGCTATTATCTACTAGTTGGGTTAAGGTTAGGTCCATAGTTAGGTTAAGGTTACTTGAGGTTAAAATTGTGTTAGGTTAGGTTTCATTATGTTTGGTTGCATTAATACAATGTGTTCTTGACAAAAATGTGAAATATGGAATTTGAAAACTATTTGAGTGTCTACCTCAGTTAGGTTGATCACAAAACCTGATCAACTAGGCTGTCACTAGTACATCAGGCTGCAAGCAGCCACATCGAACAGCCTGGTTGATCAGACCAGCAACCAGGTCAGATCAACCAGGTCAGATCAACCAACTCGGTCTCTGGTCAGAGACTGAGCCGCTGGGACATTGATCGTTGAAATCTCCAACAGGTAGGTAGGTAGAAGATATCCAACAGTTAGGTAGCATACCCGAGAATTTTATTGACAGAAAAAAGTTCTTCAGACAGTTTCAAAGAAAACATGTTCAGCATATACCGTTTATATTTTAAAGCAACAATTTATAATAAAATAGTTATACCTTCAGAATATTCTCTGTTTAGGCAAGTGACAAAGGTTCACTTGGTTTACTTGTAGACTATTACTGGAACCATAGTATGCTTTTAGACCATCACACATACCTAGATAACTATCCAGGTGGTACAAGGGGAGGGTTTGGTCTCTTGTGATAATGGATTTGCTCTGAGAATGGGGGTGCCTATGTAATTATTCACATTACCTTTCTTATCCTTTCAAAGAATATCCTAAATGCACTTCTGAGCCCATGCTGAACCATATTTTCTTTAAATTTACTTCATAAGTTATGGGATTGAAATCTTTGCTCAAACAATTTTTGTTTTCTTTGCCTTGTCTGATATTTTCTTCCAAATTCTAAAGTCTTGTTTGCACAAAACTACGTTCCCCCCTTTTTTTCCATTTTCCTTTCCTCATAGATAGTAGTAAGCGATGATGCACAAAAGCAACAACAACAACATGCATCATGATGCAGCCAAAACAGACAGGTACGTAACCACAATCCGTCTTCCTTCATGTGGTGTTTCTGTAGCTTGCATGTGGCATACTAGAGATAAAGCTTGCATCAATTATAAGTATACCAATGTATAAGAGACAACCTTTACACGTAATGAACATGTATGAATAAATCGTATTACTGATGGAAGATGCAAAGTTGAAAAGGTAAGTTGAATGTTTTAAACACTATGGATAAAATGTGAACTGATGACCAGTTCACATCAAAGTAACGTCGAACAGGTGAACCATGAAAAAGGTTGTCGCGAAGTAGCCCACTGACCCGTCCCCTTCCACGACAAATGCCACCAAGCAGGATTCGAATACTGAAGCTGTGCTATGGCCTAAGACACTGGCACCTATGGGCACCCACCTTCAATAGCTTTAGCAAGATTATGCCCCATGTGTTTAACAACTTCTGTGGTTGGAGCTACCCAGGTAGCTAACAAGAAGCAGCCACCATAGAAGACCTCCCACAAAACCTGTCATGATATGTATCATTGTCTGCTTTGTAAATACAGTAGATTAATTTTTAAAATATTTTGACTAAAACAGCTAAATAAACTATATTGTGTATAATACAATGTTTAATATAATTGATCGTTGCATTAATTTATTATTTTAAGTGTACAGTACTTAACATAAGTAATTATAAAACACACAAGTCGTCTTTAAATCATTATCACAATACCATAATAATGGAATTAAATTAATCTTTATTGTAAATAAGTTAATTTTTTGTTTATATTCAATCTACCAGTACAATATTTCTTGAAAATCACTTTCACTTAAATCTAATGATCATTATACAGTATCCTATGTTGCCTTTTTATATATTAGGTTTGTAATTATTTAAGCATTAATTTTCATGTAAATAAGCATGTTATCACAATGTTTTCTCTTTCAGCATCACATCCAGTTGCAATACTTAGCAATACTTCTGCAATTGGACACAGCAGCTCAGTAGGGAGTTGTCATGAAGGTGAAGACCCCGACATGACCAACCCGCTGCTGGAATTATCTGCTGTGCCTACCATTGTACGAGAGAAGGTAACATAGCATTCTTTGTACTCATGTTTGTGAGTATTTAAGTTGGAGATTTTTTCATGTACACAATTATCTTTAAACATGACTGTGATTAAACACAAAATTACTAGTTTGAACATGGTCATCCACACTTGATGCAATAACTATGTTTTATTCAATTAATTTATTAACTGCCAATACATTAATATATAATTTGTTACCTGTTTGTAACCACGGGTTTGGTTGTGCTCGTGGCTTTGTTTAAATTTGTTGTATTTTTTATCATCAATTTTTAGTGATTTTGGTGCACAGATTTCTAAAGTTTATTCCAACCATCCATGACGGTATCAAATACTTCTCGCAAGGTGTCTTACATATTTTCTTCTGTAGTTTACTGCCAAGATTATAGTGCCTCACATTTTTATTTAAGAAATCACTAATCTGATTTCTGGTATTATTTTACTCCTTGTATGTGGCTATCATATTCTTTGCCTTCTGTTTTCCAAGGGCATGTACAGCTTGTTTTCTCATAGCTCATTTATTTGTAAATATTTTGTTGAATGACTAGATGTTTTGCATTTTGTTAAATGTTTTAGAAGCAGGCATCATATCAAGACTACATACTCCAGTTAAGGTCTAGCATATACGCCACAGTACTTAAAAGCTGTTCTAAAATTTGTTTAAATTGCATAGGAATATTTTTATTTTAGCATTTGTGTGTTCTGGCAATAAAGCATCACTTGTTTTTCAGTGCATTCATTAGATGTGTGTGTGTGTTATGACTGCTCACCATATAGCTCCAAGCTAATGTTTTCATTTCATGTAAAGGCGTTTTCATTTCAAATTTTTACGTACTAGCCACAACCATTGTCCAATCAACACTGTATTCAGTTTACTGTATTTGTTGGTGGAATATTGAAAGGCGTTGTATTCTTCATGTTGAATAAGTTAATTATTCTCCACTTGTACTTACAACTACTTGGCATTACATTTTATCTGCTTCCTCCCATTTATATTATATATATCTGGCTTAGCCGTTTTCAGAGGTTTCTTGTACAAGTACAGTGTGGAAACAATTGTTAACCAGGCCAGGTCATGTAATACTAATGGCCTCAGTTTCTGGCATCCAAATTTTATAAATTACACAAAGCATTAAAAAATGTGTAAAAAGCCTCTGTTTACAACTGTTGTAGCTCACTTCATTGATAACATTGCACCAGAAAGGAATCTTCTCTCAATGAAAGTTCTATAACGACACATATTAACCACGAGTGAGAACAAGGCCGCCTCAAGTCTTTACCATCCAAGATATTGTTTTTAGGCTGCACCTTTAATGAAGTATAAAGCTAACAGGCTGGAAAAGATTTGTTCGTTAATTTTGACTATTACATGAAATGTTCCATTCCATATAAATTGTCATCCACTCTTCTGTGGAAATATACATCCCATTCACCTGGGCATTTATTTGAAATGTTCAAATTTCAGAGAATTTTTGTAACTTTTGACAGAACTGTATCAAATAAAAATTGTCTAATAATTATTCAATACTTTGCTTATTATTCCTGCTGTAGACGGTAAGCCATATAGGGCACTACACGAGTGGCCTCAAGGTACAAACGTTACGGCTCAAGTCTGGCAAACTGACTTGTGCTTTCAAATGGTTGGTATTAATCTGTATTTTTGAACATTAAATATCCCAAGAAATTTCCTGCATGCTAGTTTTATTTCAAAATCCCAAATTTAGCCTAGATGAAGTACTTTTTTGATAAACCTGTCACATGGTGCTAAATCTAAAACTGTTATTTGATCAGTGTTAGAAATAAATATTAAGCTTAATTTATAGCTTGTTTATTACCATTAATAACTTCACACAGCACAGTAAACTAGCGACCTCCCACACAAGAAAGAGTCGGTAATAAGGTGAAAGTAAAGTGGAGTGAAATCAATACAAATACATCTCACTGGTCCACATTAAATTACTGTATTTGCTCCTCTAGTCTTTTATGCTTCTCTTATGACAATTATGCAAATCCAGGTACTATGAAGTTAAGCACATTAAAAGTCACATTTGTGTATGAAAAACTATCTAGTACTGTACTTGATTTTAACCACAGAAGACAGGGTCTCGCTCTTCATCATCAGCATCTGGGTATTCAAAGTCTCGGGTCTTAACATCTTCATCTTCCCCATACTGTAGCGCGAAGTCTGTCTGGATAAGCAAATCTGTGAGGGATTCTTCGCTGTTGATGTTCAGGGGCACGTAGCGGACCAGAGAGAAGTCCTCGAGAACTTTTCCCAGTTCATTAGTTAATTTATGATACCTGGTAGAAAATTTAGGAGATAAAGTTAATCTTGTGTATGTTTTTACGAAAAAATCTGGTATATTTGGATGTTTCCAACAGATAGGATTAGGAAATGTAGTATAATTTACTAAAGATACTAACATTAATGAAATGGTAGTCATTTAAGTAAACAAAGCATTTGAAACTTAATAATTAATGAAACTAGATATTTTGTTTGTACAGCAGTCAGGTAAGAGAAGCATCCCTGGTCCTTATGACAGGGATGTCTCACAATACTGTACAAACAATACTATGAATAGCCTTAAAAACAATAATTCATGCACAAATGTTGTTAGCTAATACAAAGAAGCTCTCAAAACATCTAGATCTGAAGGAATGTAATGAATGTGAAAAACCTCTTTCTGAAAGAACTTGGATGCTCCCAAGGAAATAACAGATACAATTCCAATGGATAATGTCATGATAGTCAACTCTAGTTGTTGACCATCATGACATTTTGTATTTTGGCAAATACCAAATCAAATGGTTATAAAGGAAACCAAGGGTAGACTTAGTGGGAGGTAAACAGAAAACTTGTCCGCACATGGAATTGAACGCACAAGTTAAAGTGGGCAGTACAAATCCCTAGTCCTGGAGCAAAGCATCAAGAAATTGCAAATGGAACCCACTGCAGAAGCACAAACGGAACCACAACAGAAGAGGTTCTGGGCCACCAGTTGGTCAAGTCATGAGACATCAAACACCTGCCCTACACACATTAAAAGCATTCCATAAAAAAGTATAAACTTAACAAGTACACAGCATGAGCCTAATACACAGGGAAACCAAAGTTTCTAAAGATAAAGAAAAGGCACATAACTGAATCCTGTCTCAAGCCAACTTAACCACCATGAGGACCAATTGGAAAGAAATATGATGGGGGGGGGGGGGGGGTTTAAGAAAAGAAAATTTAGGGTCAAATGGATTCTGTGGCTTTCTGCCAACTGGACGTAGACAGAGGCAGTAGCCAAGTGGAAAACTTGCAGTTTGAGAGTGCTACACAACGGACCTTATAATACCACGTAGGGCTTAGAAAGACCAGAGTTATTAAACTTTCTGTCGTCACTATGGGTTAGGTTGAGCTGTACTACACTGCCTCCTTAGCAGCAGCACAACCCTACAGGGATGTTAGAAAAGATTGCTATTGTACTGGTGAATAATTTCACTCTGCCAACTCTATGGAACCTTAAGTGATCTTGCCCTACAAAGATCATCTGAATGGCATAGGTCAGAAAAAAATATATAATTGGCTTTATTGCTAAACTTTCCATGGTATCATTAACAAGTGACATTATTGGAAGTCCTCCTCAACATGTGTGTCGAGATACTGGAACAACCCATGCTTATTGGTTTTCAAAATGTTAAGAAGATCCATCCAGCAATATATTCAAATTGCTATACCAACCAGGTACCAGGGAAGCTACTGAACCTAATAACAATTGAGATCTTCCTTACCTCACCATACATTAGTCTTGGCAGCTTCAAGCTGATATGCAATGTAATCTATCTGATATGAATCTAGCTGATAATCTAGCTGATATGAATGTAATCTATCCCAGACCAACTGTTGCTGGTCTGGGGTAGAAGTAATGAAACCCCACCACGACCAATCCAGTTGAAAGGCATCCACTCCATCCAGCCCAAACCATTGGTCATGGCAGTGGTGAAAGGGGTGGAACCGGAGAAATTAGAACCCCTAAAATAATACTAGATACTACAGACAATGCAATTTTAATTAAAAAAAAAAAATAAAAAGGTAATTTTTACCAGGAACACCTAAATACGTAAAGGACTGTACTGTACTTGTTCTTACTTCTTGTTAAATCTGGAAACGTTGTGTTCAGATGCAAGCAGCTCATGGATTTCTGGCTCTAAAAACATCTCTAGCTGATTTCGTGCAGATTTGTTCAATAAATCCATTTTTGTCAACACATTAATGTGTGGTACCTGAAACATACAACAGTATTAAGTCACTGGGAATAAACCTATAGGTTCAATTCCAATTATTATTTTTCTCCGCTTCTTTTTATTTTTCTTAACCTTGCGTGCGCCTGTCTTTCTTTTCCTGTTACTTTCTGACTTGTGTGCCTACTGACAGCAAAAGCAATTCTCCCCACAAATAATTGTTTATCAGTGCAAGCAAGTGATACTTAGTTGCTTTACTTACAAGTATGCAAAATAGCATTTAGAATTTTTCAATTATTTGTTTAAGTTACAAAACCCAGAATACACTTAGGGCACTGATTATCAAGAGGCCAATTCTACACAAAAGGATATGGAGAATTCCTAATAAAAGGACAGTATTCAAGGTAAAGATGGATAAGAGTTACATAGGTCATAGGCATTACATATTTCAGCCACGTTATTGTGACTCATCTTCATAGGCATTAGTTTGCTCACCTCCAGTTGCACCATAGTAGACAAGGCTGCTAATGACCCTGAGAGGAACTTCCCAGCATCAACCATATACACAGAGTCAAGCACAAACACAGCACATACTCTGAAATCCATAGCCTGAAGATGATGTACCAATCTGAAAATATAAAATACCTGTCTAGAAACCTGAAACAAACGGTGATAAAACAACCTTAAAGTTATCCATAAATATATTAAATGTAAAGTGAAAAATTAAGAAACCAGCATTGAATGTAATCTATCCCAGACCAGCTGTTGCTGGTTTTGGGTAGAAGTAATGAAACCCCACCACAACCAATCCAGCTGAAAGGCATCCACTCCATCCAGCCCAAACCGTTGGTCATGGCAGTGGTGAAAGGGGTGGAACCGGAGAAATTAGAACCCTTAAAGTAAGTAATTATCAAAGAAAGCACCAATAGAACCCCTAAAGACACACCCTGCACAGCGGGAAAACTACGCAGGCAAATTTCAGGCTCCAGCAAGTGCCGAGTCACCCAGGACTGCCTTAATACCAGATTCCTGGCTAGCAGACATGTAGACTGACTGGGGGCTATGTCACAAGATGAAGAGACAAAGGCAAGTAACTCACCATGGCATGCTCCACTTATTCTTGTACCAAAATGAGATAGGATACGAAGACTCTTAATCGACAACAGGAAGCCGAATACTGTAACTATACCCGATTGTTTCCCCACTTCCAGTCCTAAATGATTTGTTGCAAAGGATGAAACAAGGTATTTTTGACTTTAGATTTGTTGCAAGGGTTCTGGCAAATCCCACTTGAAGAAAGTAAAACAGTTGAGGAAAGTAAAACAGTCGACAGCTTTAGTACTCCCAAAGGTCATTTTAATTTTACAGGCATGCTACTTGGCTTGCATAGCAGGCCAAATAGCATAGTGTTCTCTATTATGGACAGTACTGAATTATGTTCGCCTTCTTTAGTACTGAAAAACAGTGAAATATCTTAAAATATTGAGAGCTGCCTTTTTAACTTGCATATTTATCACAGAAGAAAGTAAAAGAAGAGAATTGCTTGATCACTTCAGAATAGTAAGATTAGATATATTAGGTATAAAACACTTTGGATGAAAAAGGCCGATGTTTTCTAAACTTTACCATTCAGTTGCTCCCTAAAGCAAGAGTTTCATAGCCTTATAACACCTTTATGCATAGTCCAGGCAGGTTGAACCCATCACAGAATAACTACCAGAAAGCACATTTCAAAACACTCAAATCCTTTCCAAAAACTAAATGGCATTTTCACATACTGCAGCAAGCCCCCACTTGGCAATACTTTCGGAACATCTGGTACTTAAAGAAAACAAGGTCAAACACCCTTATGAAATAGGCTGTGGTATACATTAAATTTTTTTCTCCATCTTGGCAATGAAAAAATCCTGAATAAATACTGACCTCTTCATGACATCCATGTGAGTGTACAGTTCTATCTGGCCAGGGCAGTCAAACAAAATATGGTCATCATCATAGTCTCCAAGTTGCTCCTGCAGAGAAAAAGACACTTTAGACTTTGAAATAAACACAGTCAACCACACTTCATAGTTCTGAAAATATTTATAATCCTCCAGAACTCGTAAAAAAAAATTGAAATGTTATGTGGTTGCACATTTTCTGGTTAAGGCAAAAGCTCTCATTTGTTTTTCTTCCTAGGGGGTGGGGCTTTACTTCCTGTGCCCAAGAGGGCCTATATAATCTGACGTTTCCAGCAGTCAGCCTCAAACAGTTACATCTCTCCAATGTTTGCTTCACTCACTCTATGCTTACACACCATCCATCACACATGCACTCTTCCACAGGAGCTTTCCCCTACCCTAGCCACCATGTATACTCTTTTCCAAAGCTACTAAACAACACCATCCTCCCACACACACTGCCCCTCCCCAAGCATATGCCACCTACTTGCTTGCTCCATCCGTGTTCATTGCCAATCACCCAGTCAACCCAAGAACAGAATGCCATAAGCAAGCACGTGTTCTCTTTAGCCTATTCTACAATGGCACCATCCTCACACACACAGACGTCCATATGTCTATTGAAATTTTTATACTATTCCAGTTTCAGTCAACCTCTGGGATGTCCCCAACACTCACAGACCAGATTTCAATGCCCATACCTGTAGGCCACACCAATTGAGCACCACTGAGGATGGAACATCCTCAGGGGTGGATCGTTCCATCCTTTGATGGAAACAAAGTAAAAAAGTTAATACATTGTATCTGCTTGTCAATTCTCTCAAGGACTGGTGACTGCTTTAACAGATGCCCTCAACATTTCCCTCCCTTCTATGTCTTCCCCAAGGCCCTGACAATGGTAACCATCTTCTGTGTAGAGGCTGGGATCCTTCCACCCTCCTGCCTTGGTTTGTCTTTATTTATTCTCGGTGTTTCTGCTGTGCCTCGTGCCCCCATTGTGCTCCAGTGCCCCTGTGCTCCCTTGTACCCACTGAGCTTGGGGAATTCAATGTACTGTGTTAGCACTTGTGTTTTTCCCAGTGCTTGTTATCTGGCATCTCCTGTCCAATCTGGGCTAGAGTTCTAGGTCCCAGCACAGAGTTTGGGCATCTTCCTATCTTTGCACTGGTTAGATAATTCCAGTTTCTACCGTAGTGCCTGCTGCTCAGCTCAAAGTCCCTTCCTTTCCTTATGCATGACATGCCAGACTTTTTATATATCAGTGCTGATTAACTCTCTCCAGCCTTCGTAAGCCTGTGTTCTTGTGTTTGGTGTTCCTTGTGCTCTTGTGTTCAGTTCTTAAGTCCAGTGGTTCCCACGCGCATCCCATGCCTCCCGTTTTCTTTCATTTTAACATCAGAACTAGGAGCTGCCTCGTACTGCACATTAAATACTGCACAGAGCATGTAACCAACACATGTTTATGGTTATTATTTTATAATTTCTACTGTAGTAGTCCCTACATTATCTATTTTCTGTGATGCATGTTAATGAAAGGGCCTCAGGCATGAACATAATACTGCCGCCTCCTCATAGTGAACACGCTTTTCGCTCATTTATCAACTTATCAGTTAATTTGTTACCTTTCTTTTATGATAACCAAATGATTTGGTTATGATAAGTGGTGCTCTTCATGAGCACCACTTCATTTACTGTTCTCCATGTACCCCCGGTGCTCTGGACAGCTTAACAGCAGCACCTGGTGTTTTAACAGCCAGCTTCCTACCTCCTCTCCCCTCTCTGCTCCATTTTCCCCAGTTCCTCCTTATCAGAGCTTTACAGAAGTACCTGAAGCACTTCTCCGACCTACCCCGAACACTTTTCTTTGAGCTGATTGTAGGTTAGACATACGTATATGAACAAGTTTGGATAAATACAAACAGGAGCAGCTTCATATAGACCAATAGGCCTTCTATAGTTTCATTAACTCTTATGTTCTTATGATAAAATGATTATGTTTGTAAAATGTTTCTGTCCTGCTGCAGGAATTGAACCCTGGGTCATTCGACTGTTAATAGACTGGTCTGAAACAGGGCTGTGATCACCCCATAGACACCACAAGGTTTATCTGACACATCTTGACATTACTCCTGTCTCTTCCTTCAAGGATGTAGAATTTCTATAAGGAATAACCTTTAAGAAGTACATCAAGCAAAAAAAAAAAAAAAAAAAAGCCTGCAGAGTGTCAAACACTAAACTGCCACTTTAACAAAAACACCTTTACAAAAACATTATACAAATCACCTTTAACCAATCCAGTCCATCTGGCTCCATAAGGTACTCCATACAAAACACTAGTCCACCATTTGGGCCAAAGTCCAGGTCTTCAGCCTGCATCACATCATCGACCTGAATCAGGTCTCGGACATCCACAAGTGGCTGGTAAGAGAATGCTTCAGCTGCAGGGTCAAGATTGACTACACTGTAAGAACATAATACCAAGTATAAATAAAAACAAAGACTTTGACAAGCACATCAATCAACCAAGATTACAGTATAAATAAGCACCATCTGACTATAGCATCTTATTCTTGTAGTCATAAAATGAATTTATGGTAATAAAAATAAGAGTTGATGACACGCAGGGTAAACATTTGACATGTACATTAAAGTACAAATTTTATATATCTACATTTTAATGCTTGTGTTTAATACACAAATTGTATTTAACTACTGTAGAGTATGAAAGTTGTGTTATCTCGCCTTATCTCAACTAAAACTAAATGTTAAGTTACAAACCACAGGTAAACACTACATTTGTTAACCCTTAAATAATGGAAAACATCAAAGAATGTTGGTTTACAGCAAACCAAAAAATACTGTCATGCTTTAAATTTTTGCACAACTGTTTGTATACCAAAGTGCTCATAAGCGTCAATGATCAGCAGTCATGAAGAACCATCACCCACCAATTTAGTATGCTTACAATCATAATAGCAGATGTATGGCCACTAGAATCTGGTATTGTGACATCGGGAGCAAAAGATACAGAAGGAAATGCAGAATAGAACCATTGAGCAGTAGAGGTTTCATAGGCACAATCAGAGAGCACTGTCTTAATATCTGGGGTCCACGGCTGTTCAACACCCTCCCAGCAACCATAAGAAATATTGTCACAATGAAGGTGGAGATATTCAAGAAGCACTTGGACAGGTTCTTGCAGGAAGTGCCGGACCAACCAGGCTGTAGTGGATATGTAGGGCTGTGGGCTGTTCCAAGCATAGAAGGAGCCTGTTGGACCAAGTTATCACAAGTCAAGCCTGGCCTCAGGCTGGGCTCGGGGAAGTGCCAAGCCATTACAACTACATAGCACTTGGAAGGGACATGGATAAGGATTTGGGATGAAACAGGGGGGAAGGAATGGTGGCCCAACCACTTGGATGGTCGGAAATTGAACACCGACCTGCATGAAGCGAGACCATCACTCTACCGTCCAGCCCAAGCAATTGGGCTGCCAGGCTCGGGGAGTAGAACAACTCCCTGAAACACTCTCCAGGTATGCTTTAGGTTTCAGCAGAAAGCTAAAGGTTGTGTCACCTGCTGACTGTGAGCTACCTACCCCATCCCCCCCATAAGAGTGGGTGAGGTGGGGAACATGAGCTGGCTCATTTTGAAACTTTTCAATCGTTTGTTTGCATTGTTGGGAGTTCTTCTAGTGGTTCATGAGGCTACTGTCTTCTTTAGCTGCTATGGTTTGTTTTGTCTCGCTGACTTTCTGGATGCCTTCCCTAGTGGTGGCATAAATAGATAAATACCAGACCAAGAGCCAGAACCTGTTCCTCTGTGAGGGAACCATGTTCTGGGTCTTGGTCCCTGGTAGGCCAGACAGAACTCCGCAGCTGATGCAACCCAGTAGATGGTATACAATTAGTGATAATAGCTTCAGAGATCCACATGGGGCTCCCCCAGAAAGGTAATGTTCAGAGTTAACAGTAGTAATTTACAATAAAAATATAAATACATGTACGCATTTGCTTACGATTCATGACTTAATGAAAAATATAAACATATTTTAAAATTCAAACTAACTGTGTGACTCTGTTAAGGGTCTCTGCATGTTTCTGCATGGCTGCACAGTACGTAGACTTGCCAGACCCTGCTGGACCCAGAACAAGTTGGCAGAATCTCATCTTTGCACTAGTTGTGTCTAATCCTGAAAAAGAGTGTGTTTTCAATAATCCAGCCATTGCTTTTAAGAATTTAGAGAGTTACAATTCACCAACTATATCATGATTAAATGAATTATTCATATAAATAAAGAGCAAAACATGTACAACAGAGCACATGACAGGTTTTAGGAGTTGAAATTACCACTGTATAAAACACACTACTGTTGCTCATCAAGGATAGTATTATACAGTACTACCGTATATTAAATGAATTAAGTTCCTTTATGAAATTCTTGTTAAGAGAAGCCATTTTGTTAAATATAATCACCGAGACATTTATTACAATTCTGTATGCTGGCCACTTTCAATAAAGCAGTCAACACTTAATGGGAAACACGAAATGCATCTTTCTTGAGGAGTCCAATTTTTGATCAGATGGTCTTCTTTAACATTACCTATATTATACATCTGCATTAAAAAAAGAACTATTTTGTAATCTTTATTTCAAGTGCAACATATTTTTATTCCAAACGCTGTATTTGTTTAATCTTTTCCTATTGTGAAGTTGGATTTGTTATGAACAAGAACATGGCTAGTCACCAGTTGCAAACTGTAAACATAGCATGAATGCATAAGATTCAGCTCTGACCATCTGATTAATCTTATAATAGGATAAGAAAATATTAAAATACCTTAACATATAATGGAATACAGTAAGTTAAACAGTATTTTTAGTAACATTACTTTTATAGTATATGTTCAGCCTAATAAGAGGTTAATTTTTTTTTTTTTTTTTTTTTTTTTTTTTTTTTAAAGTTTAGCAACTCAAAATGGAGGTGCATCTTCAACACATGTATGCCTTCGATGCCGGGGAAATAGTTAAAATAGTATAGAATTTTAGAGAAGCTGGGTTTATGTTATGATAGGTAAGGAGGGGGTATTGTCAAATCATACACAGACATTTCAACAAATCTCACTTTCCAACTGTCTAAACTATATATATATATATATATATATATACACATCGTTAGATTGTGGAAGCTTAGGTTAAATTAGACCGAGTTGGGTTTAGCTGCTATTGAGAAAGTAGGTTTTAAAATCTATTGGAGAACCAACTTGGGTACGATGTGACTTGCATACCCTGGGAGTGATGAGGTTAAATTTGCTAGGTAGAAAATATACGAAATGACCTGTATCCTCACAGTACATTCAGATAAAATTATGGGAATGAGATGCATACTGAATAACCTAATGTAAAATTTATGAGTGGTACAAATGGCTTGATCTGATACAGGAACCGTGTCGCTGTACAAACTGTGATCTCCCTTTAGTAAATGCTAAGTTTGTCATGGTGTTTGACCTCAAACAGGGGGGGGATGGGATAGGCTACTGTGGTTCCTACCTTTACAATTCGTGAAATTTGCAAAATTGTCATGAAACGAAGAGGAACCTCTATGTTGGTTTAGGGATTGGCACTGTTGCTTCTTAATGGTATGTGCAACTTGCGTGAAGGTTTCCTCTCCTGATGACTATACACAACACTGCCTGTTGTTGCTCTTGCAGGACTGCGGGCAACGACAGCACAGGTATGAATGCTTCTCTCACTTCACGTGGATCTGTCTGAGGTATATTTACAACTCGCCTAAAGGTTACATATGTCAGGCCACGCAATTGGCCACTTCCCATGCCACTATCTTACATCTGCTTCCATTGGTCTGCGCAAGGGCCATGACGTCATATGTACCCCCGCGAGATTCAACATGTAAAACACCAAGTAATGAATCCCCAAATTTCGGAACACATTCGACTCCTCGGTCGTCGTCGCCCTAAATAAAAACACGACATCCCCCAAGTTATTTATTTATGTGTACAAGAGTTTTTACATTCTTGTACAGCCACTATCAGGCATAGCGTTTCGGGCAGGTCCCTAGGACTACAAATCCCGAGCGCTGTCCACTCAGCCGTCAAGCCCCTAGACGTCTGTGGATACCTATGCTTGTGTATACCTATGCTGTATTGTGTATACCTATGCTGTATTGTGTATACCTATATTGTATTGTGAATACCTGATGTGTATACCTATGCTTGTTAATAAAACAAAATATGAATACAATTTCTAATTCTGATAATGTACAACTATTTACGATTAAAAATTTCGATTCTATTTTATTTTATTTTACTTTTGTTTAAACTTAAAAATGATTTACAGTATTGATTATTATATGGTAATAGAACTGTTTGACCATTCTGGAAATCCGGATTTAAATCGGATATGTAAACAAACCCAAAATGATAAAATATTGTATTTGTACAAGTTGTGTGCATCCAAAACTCTCTGTAATCAGTTGTACATTAGCGTTACGTTTTAATATCTAAAATCTTTTATATATGTAGGTTTTGTATAAATATTTTTGTAAAATTTCTGTTTGTTGGTACGGACACATTCGGACAGTTCTAATCTGGAGTCAAGGCTGATCTCTCTAGTATAGAGTCTTGACAGTTGTCTGGAATATCTCAAGACAATGCATAGTGTGGGAGACAATTCCTCTGACACTCAAGAAAGACTGTATAAGATGCTTGAGAAACTACAGACTCTAGCTCGAGACATCCCAACGTAAGTTTGGCATCAAGTTTGGAGCTGCTTTACTGACGTAACCTACTGGGAAAAACGCAGCGCTTTCTCGTTACTAATTATTATTCATTTAGTTGATTATGTGAATACTGAATGGTCACCCTAGTACTTAATGATTCGTTCACCACAGTTAATTAGATACAAAAAATAAAGTTTCCGATGTGAAGGGTAAAAATGATGGCAAACCCATGCTCCACTAGACCTACTTGTGCCTGGGCCTACCTTAATGATTGGCTCAATTGGGCTTCCTGTCCTTTTTGGATCTGTCTGCTAACGAGGGATTAAACATTGGGGATGTTTAACAAGTTTTGCTTCTTGGCCAGTATTTAGCAGTCTTTCTACACCTTCACAATCTCTGACCTTGTTGGAGCTCATTTGGAATACTATTGCAGCTGCCATTTCCCTACTATAGACCATGGTGTATTGCTGCTTCCCATCTTTCCATCTTAGCTCTTGCAAAGCACCTCCTCATGCATTGGCAGCTTGATCACTTCTTGAGCTAGATCATATTTTTCTGAGACACATCTGGTTGAAGGCATAGCAATATTTCCATGGCTTTGTTTGGGTGACATTTTGCTTCTGGCTTTGTTTGAGTGACATGTTTGTTTTTAAGAATATTCATAAAATCATTTGCATTGTGAGGTATGCCTGACATTGGAACTAAATACACCTCACTGTATGAAAATATATCTTCACATTCATCCAAATATTTCTTTAAATAATTTCAGAAAGTTCCAGCAACGTCTTCCTTATGATCTTCTGTCTTCACTTGCCCATGTGCTGCTTGATAATACTGTGTTTGAGATAGTGCGTGAATTAGCAGAGTTACAGCACATGACAGAGAAGAGCTTGCATCAGCAACGTTCTCACATGATCAACAATCACAAAGGTATGTAATATATGCAATATATAACCCCAAAGTTAATTGAAAACTATTGATCAATTTCCAAAGAATTTACTCCTTTATTTACTGTATATGAGGTATATTTCTTCCAAGATGTACTTTTATATATGTAATATTAAGACATCACTCATATGTCTCTAAACCTGTGCATTTACTTTGAGGATAAGTAAGAATCATTGAGAAAATCAGTAGGAGCCATGAGGAGTATTCAAACCCACACACTTGGTACTCCCAAAAGTAGAAATTACATTAATGTGATTTCATTGTGCATAAGAATCATTGTTATGACATGAGTTTTGACACAAGTTTTCCTTTTTTGTGTAGTGTGTGAGATTTCATATTTATGGATTCAGTACTCGAGCAGAACTGTGCTTGTTCAGGCCCATCATCTTTGTTTTATTTATCAGAAAATGTTCAAGTTTCTAGTTCATAATGTATTGCCTCTTAAAATTTACTAAGCTATCTATAGCTATTCATAATTAAGTACTTCTTATTGTCTTTTGACCTGTTTTGGAAACAAATAATGGGTAGATTTTAATGTTTAAATTTTAGTGTTTCATTGAGTTTCAATCAGTGGAAGTTGAATGAAACATAACACTCATGACATTTTTCTAGTATCCTCTTACATGTTGTTCAAACATTTATAGTTGAACGTGAAGCACTGCTCAAGACTCATAAAGAGGAGCTTCAGGCTGCAGAGCGTCAGGGCAAAGCTCATGTTGCCTCACGCTTGCCTCGTATCCATCAAGAGCAGTTAACACAGTTGGATGCTCGCCAAGCTCAAGAAGTGGCTAATACGCATACCCGTATACAGCAGGTGCTAGACCAAAAGGTAAACATACAAGCTTTTATCTACTGTATGTATAAATACTAATTATAAATTTTTGGCTGCAAATTCTGTTTAATTTTATAAGCTAGTTTACTGTACCACTCCCTAAGGTATGATCCACTGTATTACTTTAAAAGGTACTTATTCGTAGGTACATCCTACCACCTACAAGACCAAGACAGACCTTCAAGTTTACACTACAATCTTTGCCCAATGCGACTAATGAGATGCAGGGCAAGATTACATAGTCCCAATGACAAAGTACTCATTTCATGTCTCTTCATACATGCATGGAATATGCACTGCTTCCTCTGCCCATTTCTCTTCACGTTTCCTTTCCCTCCAAAGATGCTAAGGTATGATTAGCATCTTTGGAGGGAATACACATCCTTAAGTGACCTGCATCAGCCCATTAAAAGTGTAAAACGAAATTGGCAAAGTTTATTTAAAAAATGATTTCCCTAGTGAAAAGCCTAAGAGATAGAGATAATTCATGTTTGAATTATCTAAACCTTTTGATCATTTTCAATAACTAGCACACTCACTCTCTAGCCCTCACTTTTTTATTAAAAAGATTTTATAAAATAAGTAGTAGTAGTTGGTAACCAATTGCTATTACCAGTGTATTCTGAATATAATTGTTCATGTGGTATAATATTTGAATATGATTTTCAACAGGTGACAGAACAGCAGTCAACCTTGCAACAAGTTGGAGTTCCAGGGTTCCATGAGACAGACAACCCTATGGAGATTAAGGTTCAGATGTATATCATGGGGTTCATTGTCAGAATTGGGGGAATTAAAGTCCCTCGCTGAACATTATGTACTGTATTAGTATACTGTGCTTATTATTTTTGTGCTAATGCACATTGTTGACCAGTTTGCATCTTTTCCGAGTCTTGGATGTTACTCAAGAATGTAGTGATGTGTAGGAATTCCACAATTGTGTAGTGGGATAAGATAGTTATTATTTCAACATTGTTTGATATTAAAGATATATTTTCACCAGCTGTTTTATGTTCCTTTTCTAAATGTGTCATATAGCTATTTTCTGCATGTAAGAGTCCGAAAGAGTAACACTGAGCAAGAGACTTGTATCTTGTACTACTGTCACATACACTGGAAGTCAAAGCGTTCACCTTTGTCCTAAACAGAAAATATTATCAAGTTATAATTTTATTGTATTATCAACCAATGGTTTAAATTATAAGTAGGTATATGCTGAACACGTTTTCTTTGAAATAGTCTGAAGAATTTGGTTTTCTGAAAAATAAATTCCAAGGTACAGGGGTACACCTAAATAGTTTTTGTATTCGATATGTCACATTTTTGGACAATAATACACCGTATTAATGTAACCAAACGTAATGAAACCTAACCATACCAAGCCAAACCTTAACATAACTGTAACATAACCAACAATGGATAAAGAGTATATAACAGCACTAATGAAATAATGGTTTTGAATCCATTACCTCCAGGGGAGATCTCCTCACCGAGGACAGATTAATGAGTGGAAAGACTACAAATATATACTGTTGGCATAATAAACAATTAAATGCAGATGTTTATTAATATTTAATTAATAGTCACTTCAGATAACTAATCTGGTTATTGTAAGACAGCTTAAGATGAGTGAAGAGTAAAATTGATTGACAGAGGTGTAATGACTAATATGGTGTGTGTAAGGTTGGAACATTTATTGTGACAACAAAAAAGTAAGGGACAATGAAAGGTAGGTTTACATTGTGAGATACCTAATACCATTATTATATACCATATATGTTCTATAGCTGCTTAAATAACGTAGAGATTTAGAGACAACCATTTCTCTGACCCCATCAGGACTGTGTCAAAATTCAATTACATTGTAGTGTAATGCCCTTCTGTTCTCATTATCCTTATTAGCTTATATTACCTGCAAAAACTGAATGGAGCCAATTTCCTGTCAGTCATTGATATATATTAGAAACAGAATGGGTAGTGACCCTTGTGGTACTCTACTAGTTGAAGCTCTCCACTCTGCTGTCTCTTTTATCACTGTAGCCCTACATTTCCTGCCTGCGAGGTACTCCTTCATACACTTGAGAACTCGTCCAGAGTGCTTCTCAAGCTTTGGTAAGAACCTCTTGTGTTGGGCAGTGTCAAATGGTTTCTGACAGTTGAGGAATACCTGTATGCTGTCTGTGCATCCTTCTCTTGCTCTCTGACTTGATTTCAGCCATCTTGCTGTAGAACTGTAATGTGTATAAAGCAGGATTTGCCTTAGCTCAGTACATGCTGATATTTAAAGACACAATTTAGTTATAAGAGTTATATATAACTAGACAGGAATATATGCTAAGGATGGTGGTCCTGAAATCAGCAGTTCGTATTTTCCCTCTTTCTCATACTGTATATTGTTTTGGCAAAAACGTTACCCATTTTCAACTGTCTGAAAATCATCTTTTTCGATTGTTGGGTTGAATGCTATAACCAGGGTCTACAGTGCCTCTGCTTATATTAGTAACTATGGGGGATATTTTGTCTATGCTTACCTTTTCCTGTGGAGGCCTAAGGGACCAGGAAGTGAACCCAGGTCCTTAATTAATTTCAGTCCCTGTGCCGCAATGGTAAAACACTTGCCCCGCACTTCGCGAGCAATTTGGCCTTGGTTCTTATCCTGGCCGGGGAGGAGTGACTTGGTGCCAATCCTTAAATGTACACCTCTGTTCACCCAGCAGTGATTGACTGATGAAGATTAAGCCACCCAAGAGGTGGCACAGGTATGAATAGCCTGTAAGTGGTAGATTTTTTGGAGTAAATGTGATCTCCACCCAACAGTAAATGGGTACCTGTTTGTTAAACAATTTGGCTGGTTATATTCCCGGGAAAATTAGGATTAAGGACCTTCCCAAAATGCTATGCGTTCTAGTGACTTTACAAGAATGTAAGTACTCTTGTATATATAAATAAAAAATATAAAAAATTGGACTGTGACCACCCCAAATGCTGTCCGCCAATTGGTGGACAGCATTTGGAGCCTATTGGGCTCTTATCAAATCTACATTTGAAACTATGTATGGAGTCTTCTTCCACCACATCACTGCCTAATGCATTCCATTTGTTAACTACTCTGTCACTGAAAAAAAATCTTTCTAATGTTTCTGTGGCTCATTTGGGTACTAAATTTCCACCTGTGTCCCATTGTTCGTGTTCTACCAATGCTAAATAGTTTGTCTTTGTCCACCTTATCAATTCCCCTGAGAAATTTGTAGTTGGTTATCATGTCTCCCCTTACTCTTCTGTCTTCCAGGGATGTGAAGTTTAGCTCCCGTAGCCTTTCCTCGTAGCTCATACCTCTCAGTTCTGGGACTAGTCAGGTGGCATACCTCTGAATCTTTTCTAACTTTGTCTTGTGTTTAACTAGGTATGGACTCCAGGCTGGAGCTGCATACTCCAAAATTGGTCTGACATTAAGTGGTATACAAGGTCCTGAACGATTCCTTACACAAGTTTTTAAAGGCAGTTCTTATGTTGACCAATCTGGTATATGCCGCTGATGATATTCTTTTGATGTGGCCTTTTGAGGACAAGTTCGGTGTGATATCAACCCCTAAATCTTTCTCTCTATTTGACTTTTGCATGATTTCACCTCCCAGATGAGATGTACCTTGTGTTCAGTCTCCTGTTCTCTTCGCCTAATTTCATTACTTTACATTTTCCTGAGTTAAACTTTAGTAGCTATTTTCTAGACCATATCCTCCAGTTTGTCTAGGTCGTCCTGTAGTTTCTTTCGATCTTCATCTGTCTTGATTCTCCTCATAATTTTTGCGTCATCAGCAAACATTGAGAGGAATGAGTCTATACTGTGTGTGTGTAATTACCTAAGTGTAGTTACAGGATGAGAGCTACACTAGGATTACGAACCCTGAGCTCTGTCCATCCAGCCGTCATGCCCCCGGTGTGTGTGTGTGTGTGTGTGTGTGTGTGTGTGTGTGTGTGTGTGTGTGTGTGTGTGTGTGTGTGTAATTACCTAAGTGTAGTTACAGGATGAGAGCTACGCTCGTGGTGTCCCGTCTTCCCAGCACTCTTTGTCATATAACGCTTTGAAACTACTGACGGTCTTGGCCTCCACCACCTTCTCACTTAACTTGTTCCAACCGTCTACCACTCTATTTGCGAAGGTGAATTTTCTTATATTTCTTCGGCATCTGTGTTTAGCTAGTTTAAATCTATGGCCTATCTATGTTTAAATTTTAAATAGTTTAAATCTATGGTGTGTGTGTGTGTGTGTGTGTGTGTGTGTGTGTGTGTGTGTGTGTGTGTGTGTGTGTGTGTGTGTGTGTGTGTGTGTGTGTGTGTGTGTGTGTGTGTGTGTGTGTGTGTAAATACGTACACACAACACGTAGGAACATACAAAACAATTGAAGGTGACACGCACAAATTGACATGCACAATAACGACTTATGGCAATGCCTGTGTATATTTAGCTTGTATGTAAACTGTGGACCCTTCCCGCCTTTCTCTGTCCTTGTGGGCGAGGCAGCGTTGGTGGCAGGAACCAGGTCAGTCGTGTCAAGGTTACGACTCTCTGCTCCCAATTTAATGACTTTATCACTTATCAAACTGTCACTCGTATCTATAGTTATCCCTTCCTAGGCTAGTTTATATATATATATGATATCAATAGTCAAATTGTACCACATTGTACCTATTCATCTTACGTTATCTGTTAGACTAAGGACCTGCCCAAAAGCTACACGTGTTAGTGGCTTTAGAAGAATGTAAGAACATCAATGTTATGTACTCTCATAAACCCAATATACCTTCTTGTATATAAATCAATAAATAGCATTTTTATATCACAAGTGGTTTCAGTAGTGGCCCACAACAGACTCTACACAAGGCAGTTTGCATCTGCGGTGAGTCAGTTAGTTAGTAATCCTGCTCCACACCCACCCAACTGGGCGGCAGCTTTACAGTCATGTGCTCCACACCCACCCAACTGGGCGGCAGCTTTACAGTCATGTGCTCCACACCCACCCAACTGGGCGGCAGCTTTACAGTCATGTGCTCCACACCCACCCAACTGGGCGGCAGCTTTACAGTCATGTGCTCCACACCCACCCAACTGGGCGGCAGCTTTAGTCATGTGCTCCACACCCACCCAACTGGGCGGCAGCTTTAGTCATGTGCTCCACACCCACCCAACTGGGCGGCAGCTTTACAGTCATGTGCTCCACATCCACCCAACTGGGCGGCAGCTTTAGTCATGTGCTCCACATCCACCCAACTGGGCGGCAGCTTTAGTCATGTGCTCCACATCCACACAACTGGGCGGCAGCTTTACAGTCACGTGCTCCACATCCACCCAACTGGGCGGCAGCTTTACAGTCATGTGCTCCACATCCACCCAACTGGGCGGCAGCTTTAGTCATGTGCTCCACATCCACCCAACTGGGCGGCAGCTTTAGTCATGTGCTCCACATCCACCCAACTGGGCGGCAGCTTTACAGTCATGTGCTCCACACCCACCCAACTGGGCGGCAGCTTTAGTCATGTGTTCCACATCCACCCAACTGGGCGGCAGCTTTAGTCATGTGCTCCACATCTACCCAACTGGACGGCAGCTTTACAGTCATGTGCTCCACACCCACCCAACTGGGCGGCAGCTTTACAGTCATGTACTCCACACCCACCCAACTGGGCGGCAGCTTTAGTCATGTGCTCCACATCCACCCAACTGGGCGGCAGCTTTACAGTCATGTGCTCCACATCCACCCAACTGGGCGGCAGCTTTACAGTCATGTGCTCCACATCCACCCAACTGGGCGGCAGCTTTAGTCATGTGCTCCACATCCACCCAACTGGGCGGCAGCTTTACAGTCATGTGCTCCACACCCACCCAACTGGGCGGCAGCTTTAGTCATGTGTTCCACATCCACCCAACTGGGCGGCAGCTTTAGTCATGTACTCCACATCTACCCAACTGGACGGCAGCTTTACAGTCATGTGCTCCACAC